GGGGGGTGGGGGGGGAGGGGGGGAGCCTCTCCCTCTGCTGAACTAGAGGGTAGAGGAGAGGCACCTGCTGCTGTCTTCACCGCTCAACTATCACCGCCCTTGCCAGCTCTTCTGACCGCAGTTAGCAGCAGATTATGGATGACGCGGGTCCCAGTGGAGCCGTAACGGCGGTAGGGACCCTCGCTGGCGCCGCGCGCAGTGCAGTTGTCATGAGATGCCAAGACACAACGGGAAACGCGGACGAGCTGAGGGCAGCCTCAACGTGCATCAAGATGGCTGCCAACGGAATTGCTTCCTGCGGAACCAGCCGAATGCACTTCGGAGGGGACTCGAGGTGTACGTACAGCGGCAATGGTGCTCCATCCTCCAACACCCTTCAGCTGCCACTGCTTTGTGACTCCACCTCTTTCCCTTACGAGAAGCAGCGGCGGCAGCAGAAGAGGGTCGATGAGCACCAGACAGAAATGAGAGGGACTGCGGAGGAGGATTGGTCTCGCTCTAGGACCGCCACAGTGTCGGATGTGCGCTCCTTACCACTCATGGTATCTCGTTCTTTGTCCTTGTCTTTGCTAGCGGCTTTGAGCCCTTCCGAAGAGGCAGGCGGAAGCAAAGGCGACAGTAATAGTAGCAGCAGTAGCAGCAGCAGCAGCAACAGCTGGTCCCTTGCTGCGGCTGAGCGGGCTGCTGCCTTGAGCGTGCGGCGCTGCAGCAGTGGAGGAGCTGCTCCTAACCATGTTCCTGCTGTGAGGCACAGTAACGCCCCCTTCAGAAGGGGAGGCCCTAGAGTAGAAGACACGCGAATGGGGCTATGCTACACCCAGGCATCAGTAGAGTCTGGGCTGTACGCGTCTCTAAGCAATGCCCGGCGGACAGGCAACAACAGTGGAGCATGCAGCAGCCGCAGCAACGCATGCAGCGACAGCAGCAGCAAGCATGCACCCCCGTGGGCCTCAGATAGGCAATTCTGCTTCTCTGGCGTCACCACGCGCAGCCTGTGGAGTACCCGCATTTGCGCATGTAGACCGAGTCCTGTTCTAGCTGCCAATCGCAATTGCAGCAGCAGCAGCTGCAGCAACATCAGCAACAACACCAGCAAAAGAAACGGTGTCAACGGTGTAGGGCGGACCTTGAACCCCGAAGCCGAAGGCCCCGCGGGGTTGAGGCCCCAGCGCGTGGCTCGAGGGAACCGCAGGCACAGCAGCAGCAGCAGCAGCAGCAGCAGCGACAGCGACAGCAACTGTAGCGGCAACAGCAAGGGCAGCGGCGACAGCAGCCGCAGCAGCCTGTGGGATGGGGAGCTGCGGGAGCTGCGGGACTCTTTGACGAAGGGAGACAGCGACAAAGGAGACGCCACTCAACCTACAGACTTTGACGATCCGCTGGAGAGACTGCAGACTATGCAGCTGCAGCATCAGCCGCGTTCTCCTCTGCTGCTGCTGCGCTGCAGCAGTTCGCAAGAGGCGGACATGCTGCAGCAGATCGGGGGCGACACATGCCCCCTGCTGCCTGACGCACTTCCTAATGCTAGTGACACCGTGTCTATTGCTGCTGCTTCTGATCCTTTGGCATCTGCTGCTGCTGCGCCTGTCCCCATCCCCGCAAGCGGTGAGACCTCAACTCTGCTGTAGCTGCAGCAAAAACGTACATAGGTGCTTGTGTGCATGCCGGCATGCATATGCGCTCAGCGTATCAGCAAATTCACACGAACCGAACGCACGTGCACAGCATGGCAACTCCAAACTCCAGCAACGACACCAGCAGTAGCAGCAGCAGTTACTCGTGGGTTCTGTATGTATCTGTGTTTGTGTGTGCATGCGGTCTGCTGTTGTTTGCATTATAAGTTGGCAGTTACTACGGATTTACTTTGGGGGCGGAGGTGCGGGCTCGTGTGGCGGCGTATGAAGAGAAGACGGCCTCTCAGAGAAGGCGGCAGACGCAGCTGTATGTACACCTTAGGGAGATCGTGTGTTCCTGCTTTGTTTTCCTGTTCTTGTGTGTGTGTGTGTGTGTGTGTGTGTGTGTGTGTGTGTGTGTGTGTGTGTTTATGTGTTTATTGCTCTCTGCCTGCTCTGTTGCTGCTGCTGCTGCAGCTGGGAGGCTTATTTAGCGAGCAACCCTTGCTTCGAGGACCGGCGACCTTTGAAGCGGCTTGTCCGCCGCGGCATACCCGACCACCTCAGGTGAAGGGAGCACCTAAACCCTAATACGTGTTTGCTGTTTGTGTCTGGGTTCTTTTCTCTGTCCTCTTTGCACCGGTACTTTCAAAAGGCTATTAGGCTGGCATTCCTCCCTTTTTTAACAGCACACTTTCCTCTTGCGTTTTTTGGACTCCTGTGCCTCTCTCGTTGCTGCAGAGGAAGGGTTTGGGCTTTCTTCCTGGGGGCGGATGCTCTACTCGACTCCGACCCGAAGGCGTTTGAGCGGTAAGCCTCCATGTGTACGTATACTGAATGCACACGTTAAGGACACCTAAATCGTGCTTGTTAAATGTTTTGACTCCTTGTTCTCTTTGTCACCCAACGAGAGAGCGGAATTTCCATAGCTGGCCTTTTTTCGTGTTGGAGGTATTGCTCATGTATGCACATATGTACACATGTGCTTAGTGTTTTGTATTGTGCCAATACATATTGCCCAGATATATTTACTACATTGCACTCTGCTGCAGGCTGCAGATGGCACAGCTGCCTGTGGACGTCAGCGGCCAAATTGAGCTGGACCTCCCTCGAACGTTTCCAAACAATAAAAGGGTAACTCAAGAGAAAGCAACGCGCTGCTGTTCGCTTGCGCGGTGTACGTGGTGTATGTGGAGTGCGGGACAAGCCACGTTCTGCAAGCGCTCCCCTCGGCCAGCGCCTGTGAAATCACTTCTGCCGCGTCCGCTGCTGTTGGGGTGTTTGTACAGTTCCGCTGCAGCGGGGGCATCTGCGCGCTCCGTCGCGTTTTGCGGGGTTTTGCTGCTGCGCGTCCTGGCGTTGGTTACTGCCAGGGGCTAAACTTTTTGGCTGGTACTTTGCTGCTTTTTCAAGAACAGGAATTGGCCCTGGCCTCGCTGTTGCAGCTCGTTGTCTCTACTGACAAAAACAAAGGTAGGGGATGCGAGCTGGAGGGGCTGTAAGGAACGGGCGGTGCATCTAGGCAGGGAAGCTGTGCTGCGCTGCACGCAGCAGGATGCAGTGTATGCACTGCGGTTATGTGCACTGCGGTGTGCGGGCAATGCACTCTAGTGTATGGACAATGCGGTGTACGCACACAAGGAGCTGCTGAACTGCTACGTCGTGTGTTTCGCAGGACTGCAAATAGGTCGCTACTACTCCAATGGGATGGCAGACCTGCGGAGAGACCTGAAAGTGCTAGAGCTGCTCATTAGGCAGAAATCGCCCCGCGTCTTTCAAGTCCTAAAGTACTGAGCTGTTGCTCTGCTGCTGTTGCTCCTGCTGCTGCTGGTCTGCTACGGTTGCTAATGCATCTGCTGCTGCAGACGCTAGTTCTCAAACAGAGTCCGGTGGTTGAGCGATGCGAGAGAGGGAGGCCCTCAGAATGTCATCAGTTTCAAATGGAGTTTAATATGATTTTCTGTCGTGTATTTATTTGTCTTTGGACCTGTTTGTTTTTGTGCCTAAATTATCAGAAAGACGGGCGTGGAGGTGGAGTGGGTGGCGGCAGAGTGGTTTTTGTGTCTCTTTGCGACTTCTTGCCCGGTGAGTTTTGTTAGTTGCTTCGGATTTTGAGGTTTTGTATTAAAGCTGATTTACGGTTTGGAGGTTTCGGGGGGTTTGTTGTATGATGTGGGTGTCCGTGAAGCCGATCTGTCTCCCTCGCCTGTCTGGGGTTGTTAGCTTGAACATTCAGTTTTTCCTCGTCGCATGCGTTCTGTGATGGTGGTACAGCAGCCGACAGTGCTTCGCATTTGGGACTGTTTGATGCTGGAGGGTCCCAAGATTTTGTTTCGGGTTGCTCTTGGAGTTATCTTTTATTTCGAGTCGCAACTCGCGAAGATGCACTCCCTCGAGCAAGTCATGGGCTCACTAAAAGCCAAGCTGGCCCTCCTTGTACGCCTGCATATCCCACACACAGACTCCTTCCAAATAGCACACAACTGCCTGCGGGACAAAGATACCTCAAATTCGATAGCCATAGAGGCACTAATCGTTCTCTTGCAAGGTGCAGGCAATTACGGATGCCCGCAACATGGGCATGCGCGGGCGTATCACTACATCCTGATGACACTCCCGATGCTGCTGCTGCGGCTTTCACGTGCAGGTCGAACACAACGAATTGTTGCGACTTTGCTTCCACAAACTGCGGAGCTTCCCTAGACGCAAACTGCAGAAACTACAGCAGACTATTGCAGCAGGACTGGTGGACCCCACTAGACCCTGTGGCGAGGAACAGCAGCAGGGGGAAAACGATGAAGACCAGCAGGAGCAGCAGCAGCACCAACAGAGCCCTTTGCAAGACTCTCGCCGCCGGCGGCTGCTACCCTTTAGGCGAACCAACAAGCAGCAGCCTTCATGCGACGTGCTGCAGCCCCAACCTGCTTCACAGATCCACTTTACGTGGAGAGAAAAGCTGTCACGTGTCAGTCGGCTAGGAATGAAAAGACAAGCAACTCTGCCTCTAAGCGGACGGCACGAGGGGCCTCCCTTGTGTGCTTCCTTCGACGAACACGTAACGAAAGACGCCCTCCACAGCTGCAACGGCAGCAGAACTGAGGAAACGCGTAGACATCGCAACCTTCGCTCACTACATAAACTCAAAAGGCCGCCTGGGTCGCCAAAAAGGGGGGCATCCTCGGCCTTGCAGTGAGGGGAATGTTTGTGTGAGGGAAACTCCTGCGCGACAAGCAAACACCTCAGAAGGCGAGGCGCCTGCCTCCCTGCAGTGTTCATGCAGCTTTAAACCCTTGAAGGCCCGCAAATGTGGTTATTTTGAGGGTGTTGCAAGCGAAGGTGAGGCCGCCCGTTTGCGGCGGCGTTGTTGCGGACCGTCACAGCATGGCCTGACATTTTACACCAGGCCAGGTACTTGCTTCCGCACCAAGCCGCAGGTATTTGCAAAAGGCATGGCCCGAACCGTAGGACTACGGTGAACTTGCTGCGGCGTTTTGAATCTTTAGGGTGGCTCTAACGGTGGAGTCGGGCAAGGGTGTTTTGAGTGGTATGGGGGCCTTTTGGTAGCCGTCTGACGGCAAGATGAACCGATTCTGTGTGCAACGTACTTTTGTAAACACAGTTTGCGAGGGCTTCAAGAGTTTGCAGATGCATTTTGGCTATGCCTGCGGCCGCTCTAAGCTGAATGCGGCAGCTCAAAGGTAAGCTAGCCAGTTAGGGCGCTGCTGCATTCTGTGTCCCCTGGTAAGGCAGAACCAACAAGAACAAAAAGCCAAACAATCATAGGGCATCCTAAATTTTAGCACACTTGAATAGACGAAGCCATCGGTTGCTCGGGGTTGCGGCAGGGAGTCCTCCGGCTAGACAGCGGTGATCTCTAGATTTAATAGTGCAAAAGAAGCCAAAAAACTGCTTCAAAATGGTTCTTGGCCAAATATAACTGTCGGCTGCCACTTTTGAGTCGAACTGAGATAAAACCTGCGTTTACACTCGGTTGCATTGACAGCGCATGTATACACCCGAACGCCTTCCGCTGGCGGGAGTTGGCGGCTGGCCAGGAGGAAGTAGAAGTGTTTATGTTCCAGTAGTTGTGGCGTTCGCGAAATCCGAAATAGTGAGATCTTGCCTATAAACACGCATACTTTGTGCTTGTTATAGGTGGACATACACTTCACGTTGCGTAGCGGTGCCACTGCCGCTTGTTCGTGGCGAAGAGCGCTGAGTCTGTGGGCTGTTTGGCATCGCAATTCTGGCCCCTCTTCCTCTTTATTGTCACCATTGAGCATTTATTGGCTTACCACCGCTGCCTAGACCAGCTCTCTACCAATGTCTGCATTCGAGCCAGAGGCCTCAGGTGTGGGGATACGTCAAGGGCGTGCAGATCGCGAAGAGTCTCAGGACGACAGCAGCAGCATCACCATTAGCAGCAGCAGCAGCAGCAACAGTAGTAGCAGCAGCCAGAGCCCTTCATCGGGTTTGTACAGCGGGCGCGATATGGACGAGGAGTCACCCGACAGTGCGCAGCGGAAGCGCGAGCACTCCGAGACCCCCGATAGCGCCTCCAGCAGCTTCCAGCAGCAGGGGCAGCCAACTGCCAGCAGTAACGAAGACGAATCCCATGCAGCAGAAGACCGGGTGTCGGCAGAGCCAACATCTGCTCCTGAAAGGCAAGTTGCCAACGCGGAGGAGGCCCCGGAAAGAGGAGCCGAAGAAGAGAATGAGCTGAATGAAGAACAGCAGCCCCGTAGGACCAACTCCGAGTACAGCGAAGAAGATGATACTTCAGAACAATGGGAGGAAGCTGTCAGCAGTGCTGAGGAGGGTAGTATCCCTTTTGAGTCCGACGATGGGTCTAGCAGCAGCAGCTCCGATTCAGACAGCAGCACAGATACACCCGAATCCGCATCAGCAGCAGCAGCCACAGTAGACAGTGCAGCTGCAGAGGCAGGGGAGCAATTGGGTTGCTCCCACTATCGCCGCAAATGCAAAATAGTGGCTCCGTGCTGGTGCGTTTTTTTTTGGTTGTGCTGTTACTACAGCAATAGCAGAAGCAGCAGCCGCTGATGCAACCGCTGGTGCTGGTGCTGCCGCTGCTGCAGCAGCAGAGGCCGCATGCAACATCAGTGAAATCAATAAGGTGCAGAGGGGATTGAGGGACCGACGCTGTTCTGGCCACGTATATAAAGGCACCAACAACGGCACAGACACCGCGCGTGGTGGAGAGTACTTTTGTGCCTTGTTGCTTTGTGTGGTTGATGCTGCAGCAAGGAAATATACTGGTGCAGACACTGTCACAATGAAGCATACGAGTCGGATTTTGCCAAGGCACAGTCCGTTGGCCTGTTCTTGCTGTTGTTGCTGGAGTTGCTGTTGCCGTTTGTCGTTTCTGCTGCTGCCTGTGCTGCTGCTCCTGCTCTTTGTGCTGTTTTTTTTGCTGCCTTTTCTGTTGCTGCTGTTCCTGCATTTGTGGCTGTGTTGCAGCCGATATTCGGGGGTGAGCTGTCACGGATAGCGGGCCATATGTTTAATGCAGTTTCTCTTGCGCTGTATTTGTGTCAGCGAAATAGACCGCCACGCTGTGGAAGAAGTAATCTGCGCTGCGTGCGACACACGGCAGCCCGTGAGCAACAAATGCATGCAGTGCCAAGTAACCTTCGGGGCTTACTTCTGCCCTATCTGCAAATTTTGGGACGACCTAGGCGAGAAGAAGAAGGTAATTCTCCGGCACTGCGGCACATGAGGCTGCCACATTTGCTGCTGTCGATGAGATGCTGCTGGTCTCACTGCTGCTGCTCGTCGTGCTTTTACTTATTTTTTTGCGGCGGTGCATACATGATGGGGGCTGCTTTGCGTTTGGATTTATGCGTTGCATGCCTTTAGGTGTACCACTGCGGCGATTGCGGGATATGCCGCTTGGGAGGCCGAGAGAATTACTTTCACTGCCAGACCTGTGACAGCTGCTACCCACTCCAGCTGCAGAATAAACACAAATGCCTGGAAAATGCAATGCGCAGGCAGTGTCCTGTCTGCCTAGAAGATATGTTCTCAAGTCTGAGGCAAAGCCAAGTGCTGCAGTGCGGTCACACAATTCATGCTGTGAGATAGCACCAAGCCTCTCTTCAACAAGCAGAGCCCCCAATGCATCCACGCTGTGCAGTCCCCCTTCCTCCACCGATTGCATGCACTAAACGAGAGCCACACACTGCTCTGCTCCATGCACGCATGCATGCATCTATCAGTGCACGCATCTTCCTTGCATCCAAACGCTGCATATACATGGAATAGCCGCCCTTGCATGCTGGCAGCTGCTGTAACGGGCTGCCATCGCCAGAGCATCAATATCGAAATTATTCCTTGGAATATCTTTCCTTGGTTGCGCAGGACTGTCTGAGGCTGTTACAGAAACAGAAGGGCTTCCAAGCGATACGCTGCCCCGTGTGTGAGCTCGATTGCATGCACCCGCATCAACCCAGCATCCGCATCATAAATATAAATACGTTATGTACTAACCTTAAATGTGTATGTCAATTGCAGATTCCCAGTGAATGTATAATGTATACAATATTTATACAGGACAGGATGGGGCGGGCCGTGGTTGACGTGTTGCGTTCTGATTTGTTGTGTGTGTGGTTCACCTATTTGTCTGTTTTGTCGTTGTGTGGTTTTTCGTACTTGTCTTTGTTTTCTCCTGTGCTCTTATTTGCTGGATATGTTATATTTGTATTCGTGTGATTGGTTTGTTTTATTTGATCTTGTTGTGTCTGTAGGCAGCAAGTCGATTGCAGATTACAGCGAGTTTTGGAAACAGCTAAGTGACGAAATCGCGAGGACTCCAATGGAAGACGATATGAAGCGTAAAGTTCGCATTGCGTGCAACGATTGCCTTGAGCGTTCAACTACAGACTTCCACTTCTTGGGTGTGTGAATATACACCCGAGATTTATTTAAATATAAATCACTAGTGTGGTGGTGGGGTTGGGGGAGAGGAAGCCGTCATCGGCAGCCTGCTGGCCCTGCAGCACACTCGTTTTTGATCTATGCTTGCCGGTCTTGCAGTATGCTGTTATTTGCTGTCGAAGTCTGCAAATGCAGCTACGTTGGCAATGCTTGTGTCTGCTTTCTTTTGCCTCGTGCTCCAATTGCCTCAGGACTGAAGTGCATGCACTGCAACAGCTTTAACACCCGAGATGTGGCGGAGGACTAATGCTGCTGCGAATGCTGGACAAGAGGAGGGAGGAGGCTATTTACAACCGATGCAGCATGTCATGCAGCAGAAATATCTGCTGCCGCTAGCGAGCTGCTGCCTGCTGTCGCATTAAAATGCCGCAGCCACGCTGGGTTTGAGTATACAGATCGAGTGCCTGGTTATTTGCATGTGAGGTGTGGGGGCTTAGGGTTGACCCTGTTTTAAGGCGGATTTGCGTTTAATTCTGCAAAGTCTCGTGAGGGGGACCGTAGACGATTAAACTGCACTGCAGAGGAAGCACCGCTTGCGGGCGAGGGCGTCTCTCTGCGATGTCTATACAGCCCATCAGTGCTTATACGTTCATTGCCTCTGGCAGGCTTTTTATTCGTCTGGAAATATGTAGCGAAGCAGGAGGAAGTTGGGAGTCGGCATACAGACACCTGAGAATATCTAGAGCTGCTGTACGCAGCAGCTCGTTCTGCTGCAATTATGGGGTTATTCAGTGCTGTGCTAGCCAGCACACCATTACACTGCACCAGGTTGTTGCATAGTGTAGCCTCCCTGTCGTGGAGGAGAGCGGCAAGCAGTGAGATTCGGACTTGTCTGTTCGAGTCTGCTGTGCTGCAACTCATCATCAACTTCCTCCTCCCTGTAGCCAGAGGGGCAACAAGGCACTTGCACTTAAGACCTTTGGCTTCATGAGAGGCTCTTGTCTGGCCGCGGCATTGAACGCGTCTTCTACTACGAGAAGGCTAGTTGGCTGCTTTCAGGAGAGGAGTTTATACAACAGGCTGGGCAGCCAGCCTGAGCCTGGGGAGGAGGTTGCATGCATTTAAGGGAGAGGACACATAGCAAGGGGCTGCGAATTTTGGTGGTTGTGGGTGTTGTTTTGTTATTTTTACTAGGTGTTGTAGTTATGCTGGGTTTACTGTGCAATTGAAGGCACTATACAGAATAGAGGAAAGGAAAGAAAAGAGCTGTGCTTCCATCTTTTGACGCACCGTCGCACTCAAAGTCATCGGTTGTGATGAGCTGGATGTTATTGAAGGGGCAGAATTTGATTTGTTTTCGAGGCGGACTGGCAGTTTCTTCTTTCTGCAGCTCCCTAATCGATTGTTCTTGACGTTTTCGTTTGGTCCCGCGGCCACTGGTTGCACTTGAGGCCTCATTGCCTCGCTGATTTCTGTCTGCCTTTTTCTTAATGCTGATCTGCCCTGCTGACTTTGCCGTTGAGGCAGGGGGGGGGTTGCCGTCGCTGCTGCTGCAAGTGTCTTGGGTCTCTCGTTGCAGCAAGGCAGGCCCGCCTGCTGGGTTATGTAGAACAGATGGGATCCCCGCAGGTGTACATACACCAGGGGGCGGCCGCATGTTGATGGCACCGTCGTCTCGGTGGTGCTGCTGCTGCTCTTGCTCGCAGATCTCTGTTGGTAGACACTCAAGGTTGACCCCCGTTGTTGGATCCCAGTCGAGGTCCTGCAATCGTTCAACTAGAGCGCTGCGACTGCCGCACGCGGAGCAGCCGAGCTCGCTGCAGAGTCTTCGGAGCTGCTCAGTTGTCCACAGCTGAGGGTCTTCAAAAAGATGGGGGTTAACAGCAAAATACGGAGCAGGAGCCCCTTTAAGCGCGAGACGCCTTGCCTTTTGAGGCCGGCAAGCTGCACTGTCTGATACTGTATTGAGCTGAGAGGAAACTGAATCCGATAAGGATGAGGCAGATCGCCGCAGCCGCAACTTTCGACTTGTCGCCTTAACAGTGAGCAGCAGGTCCATTTTTTGACCGCAATGCAAATAATAACTTCATTGAAAGCTTGAAGTGGAACAGAAGAGCAAGGCTTCAGACGTAAAAGGCAAGGTGAAGTCCTAAAAGAACGCATACAGTTTCACTGCAAGACAGCTGATTTGCTTCTAGCTATCCTTTTAACTCAAATTGAACCGCTGCATTGGGAGTAAGGCTGAAATCCTAGAACTCCAGGATTCCATGGGCAAGTTGTAGCACCCTGGCCTTTAGTTCAAGCCAACTGATGAACACTTTTAAAAAGGATTTACTCTGCTTGGCCGAGGCCCGGCTTCGTATTCATGCGAACGGGGCATTGCCTCTCGATGTTGGGAAGAGGGGACCTATCCCAGCAAGGCTACGAAATAGGGGCCGTGCATTAATTAACTCGCAGGATTAAAAAGGACGAGTCAAAAAGTACGCAAAGAAAACAAACGCGACAAGTGAGGCCTGCAGCAAAAGAGAAACATCAGAAGTGCGCCGTATTTATTCGGTTGTACAAACTAAACACCGAAGGCGCACTGCTCGCATGGGGCTTTCGCGTGGTGTTCAACCAAAAGGATGACAAATAAAAAGAAATGGGAATTAAGGAGATATATAAATCATTTTTAGGCAGATTTAGGTAGGTGTAAAGGAGGCTAGAGCACACATACTTGAACATCACGCCGTGTCAATCTTGACAGCAAGACAGGCAGTAGCATGTCTGGTGTGACACAAAACCGGCCGCGATGTTCCAGCAGTTTCGGCGTTTTCCAAGTAAAACTTCCAACGGATTTCATCAAGAATTAGGGATACCTGTTGAAAGATAATATAAAAGGTGCATAAACCGGGTGTCACGGCGAGATTCTTCTGCGGTGTCGCTGCAACCGTCACTGCTTGCCTTGCCTTCTGCTACGCGCCTGAGCTTGCAGCAGGTGAAACTACAGCTGTTTTCTGGAAAACAGGGCCACCCTAAGGCCTTTCAATAAATAAAAATCAATTATACTTGCTTTTATTCACGATTTGCCCCTGATGGAGGAAGACAGGCTTGCTTGTTGGCTGGACTGCTCGGAGGTTGAACAGGCGGCGACAAAATTTGAACGCCTGCTGAGAGAATCTGAAACAATCGAGGCGCAGCTGTGCGCTGTGCGTGAGGAAAATGCGGCGATAGAAGATGACGCTCATGAAAAGGCAGAAGGTAGTTCATTTAAACTGCGTTGTCGGTCGTATTTCATTAAGATTCCCTGTAAGAATCAATGAAATTGCGGCGATTGTGCGAAGCAGCACTCGCCCGGAAACACGAGCGGCTGCAGACGCTGAGACAGTAAGCGGGGCTCTAAATATGAGCGAATTACTCCTGCAACATATGATAAATTTTAGAATATCTCAAGTGCGCAAAAACGGAGAGGAAATGAACGAAAGAAGGGAAATGGCGTCTCACGCGGCACAGCAGGGTAAGAGGATGGAGTTCACTTACCACTGCTTTTTCCTGCTCTTGCACCTCCTTCGCGTGTAATGCTGCTGCATCTGCAGAAATCCTTGCCTTACAGACAGAATACAATTCCCTAGTGGGGCGCCGCAGCACACAACAAGCGCTGCTGAGGGCTGAACGTGTACGTCGTTGGTGTCCTGCCAATTCCTTACACTTACCTTCATCTCTGCTGTTTATCTACCATCCTTTTTAACAGGAGAGTCTTGCAGAAGGGCTCCACAAACTGCACGAGGAACTTAACAGCTTCATAAGAGAAATAGAGAAGCAGTTCCAATGCACGACCCGTGTTCAAGAGGCCGTCGTTGGCGCGCGGCAGGAGAGGGACCGGGTGGCTCGGGAGCTGCAGTCTGCAGTTCTATTATGTACAGACGAACACGAAATGGGAGATTTAAGCCTCTATCGTGAACGTCAGCAGACGTACAATAGTTTGCTTGAGAGTTTAAAGCTGGAGGAACAGGTGGGCTCGCTCGCCTTCCTCTCAACAAAACCCCACGAAGGAACCACTCATGTATTTGCACAGCGAAAACAGAATCTCCTACTGACCCAACGAGCTGACACAGGCAGAGTCATTCAACTCTCCTCTACTAAAAGAACCCACGCCCCATCAGCTCCGAGGGGCGGGCAGATCTTAAGCGAACTGATTGAAAGTGCAGGGCAAACAAAAAGCCCTTCAAGACTTCATCAGCACCTGGACATTTAGGCAAAGCTACTACATCTCTCATTTCTTCACACTACTGTGGCACTTCATGGTGTCTGTCCAGCTGTGGCTGTTCAATCCTCATCAATGAACAAGAAAATTCCTACCAGAAGCTTAATAATATATGAATTCTTGCTTTCCACTACTAACAGCGTACAAACGAATCGCTACAGATGGCAATATACACAACACAAAAGTAACTTTTGCTTTTCTACCCAAGGAGATTCCTCTCCAGTAAATGTACCCACACTTCCACTGCTTCTTCTGTTGAATTCGAATTTTGGTATTATTACTAAATACAAACTGCATCATGTAGGTGTCTGTACACTGTAGCGAGTTTCAAGCAGGTCAGACTGTGTAGTTTCAGTTGCTACGCTCCCCTGTTTTGTAATTTCCAGACAAATAGTTATACTCGTGGCGTGGCAATGATTGCAGTTTCGCTCTTTATTTTGCGGCTAGCCTCACCGTTATGCTTCCTCCTGCACCTGAATTGCTTTTTGAGTGTTCACACACTTAAGAACTACGGCCTTCTCTGCCCGGAAGGTATCTATAGCATTGGTTTTCCCGTGTCTTGACTTGCGCATTTTCCCTAATTATCCTCCCAACAGGGTGGATAGCTAGGGGGGAAGTGGGCGTGTGCGAAGCTTTGCCCAGTTACACCGGACCTTGTGCTGTAGGCCTCCTGCAACAGCTCAAGTTCCGGCCTATGTATTTCGTGTTTTTGCCTGCAAACTCTCCTCAGGTTGTCAACAGTTTCCCTGAAGACGCCTCCATGAAGCGCCAGCTGGAAGAAACATGCAAAGTTGAATGGCCGACGATATCACCCTGTGAAAAGGACTACGAGCAGCCTTGTCCTGAGCTTTGGGTAAAAGGCCCTAAACACAGTTGCCCTTATTTCACGGTGGAAACGAATATGTTATATATTGTGCTGGCGATTGCATGCACGCAGCTCCACAATCAGGACGACAGCTGCGTTGCCCCCTTCCTGTACAGAGGTGGTCCACTTAATTGCTGCCTGAAGTCCCCGTGTGAGTAAAAAGCGCAATACTGAGGTGCTTCAGGCAGATGCGAAAGGATAGAAAAGTACAGCGACTTGTCATCCGTAAGCAGCAGCAACAGCATTTATAAGAAGCAAACCCAAGCAGCAGCAGCTCTGCGCCCGCAGCAAATCTGCAACAGAATAGGATACATACTGCCATTTGCATCTGCAGGAGGAGAAGAAAGGCATCGAAAGGCGCTGCGGGATCCGCTGGCCGTGTGCGCCTCTGTGTGTCCGCAACTACAAAGTTAGCTGTCCCGAGGTGCTAAATTGCTAAAAAGAACAAGAATTCATCTGCTGCTGAACAATGCATGCGTAGGGGTGGGAAGATGCAGGTTGGCTGGAATTGAAAGCATGTACACGGGTTGCTACAAACGAACGTAAATATCGAAAAAACGTTAAGAAGATCAAATGTCATGCATTGCCGGGTCGCAAGTGCGTTGCCTTTTCCTCTTTCCAGTAGAGGCAGACTCCTGCAATCTGCTGCTACTGTTGTTGTTGCTGCTGCAGTACACTGGGCCATGCCTGCCCAGGATGAGTTTTCACAAGATGGATTGGCGGATGAAGGTGAGGCGTTTAGCGTTTGAGTATATGTTGACAGAGGTATCCACTGCAACGCTCCAATGGTTTGCAGCAACTCATGGAGGAGCACTGCCTACTCTCTTTCCCCTGTGCTGAGTCCTGTGCAGCAGATTACAGCTCCCCTTGGTGAGCCTACAGCTGCAGCTGCAACAACTGGCGGTAATACACGCTACATCCGAAACCTTACAGCCCCCAGGGATGGTTGGCGCTCTCCTCGGACGGCAGCTGCATACCGCCAGGTGTGAAAAAAGCCAAAATATGCCTAAACCGCATCGAGATGCGGACAAGAGAAAGAAATAAGGTAGCAACAAGCAACTTATCTCCTGCAGACCAATACAAAGGCAACTGCGAAGGCAGACACCAACTAGCCAGTAGGTGTTCCTCTCTTTCCCCCTGTTCTAATCGAGAAAGAAGGCAGCAAAATGTACTTTGCTCTTTCAGGCAAATCAGCGGAAGAGAAACGAAGGTGGACGACCATACACACCTTGAACTCCTTTAAAAACTGCCAAGTCTTAAAAGAAACAACAACAACAATGCTAATAATATTAAGAACAATATTGAGAATAATAATACTAATGACAGAAATAAGAACTACAACGCACGACAGGTTTGCAGTTAAATGCAGCACACAGTGGCCCTGCACCTCCTCCTCCATTGGACGGGGTTCTTTTGGCCGCCGGCCATCCCCGCAACAACTAGAGCGACAAGCAAGTAAGAAGAGCTTCTCCTTAAACAGAAAATAATGATGTGCATGCTACACTCCGGTGGTTGCTGTTGCCGTTGCTGTTGCTGTTGCTGCTACACGCAGAAGCCCTGCCAAGGAACAACAGCTTCCTCGTTCGGGCAGGAAATGGGTTTGTCGTGAGGCCGCCATGATAAACCCTCAGAAAAAGACAGCCAACAGCCCATTCCCTTCTCCTCGTCCTCTGCATTCTTCCCTCCACACCTCCTCCTTTTCTTCTTCCTCCTGTCGATCGCTTCTTGTCCGCGTTTCAGGATCCCAGATCAGCACTCTTCGGCTGCGCATAACTTATTGCGATCCCTTGGCCGCCAAAATGGCTGCGCGGATCTGCAAGGCGCAGCAGCAGCACCCAAAATGGAAGAAACAAAATAAAACAGAGCAAAGCAATAAATCTATCAAGAATGCATGCGGGCCCGCATTTATACAGATGGGTTAGCACAGCCCATGTATTGGTTCTACAGTTTCTTGCTGTGAAGAACAGACAACAGCAAACGGAAAACAAACAACCACAAAACAACATACAAAAACAAGCAACAAACAGCCGAGAACAACACGCAAACAACATCAATGAACAACAGCACGGATTCGAATTGCTTTCTTGGCAGACTTGTTTAAATCGTTCGACGCATTCTTTTCTTGTTTTCCCAGGAACTTCTTCTGCAATTGCCGACCAACGCTCCTGGGGTGGCATCGTTGAAGGGAACTTAGCCAAGGCACTCTCAAGGGCCTAAGCAAACAAACCCACAAACCCCAAAGTTGCAATATATCGTTACACTGCAAATATACCCGTAGATTGCGCATATTACCAAACATTCTAGATATATCCATACGTTGCAGATATGTCCATACACTACATATATACATCCATACATTGCAGGTATATCTGTGCACTGCGCAAATTGTATGCCTGCCGATTTCGGACAGGCCACTGCCAAACAAGCGTAAGGAACACAGCAAGGAGTTCAATCAGTCGGGACACAGGGCCCAACTGAGGGGCGGTACAAGTATGCAGTGAACTACTGCCGAAAGAAAACAGAAAGCAAAGATACTTAAGAGACGCACAATCTGCTGCTCCCGAGTCCACGCAGCGCTGGAGGCGACTGTTTCGCATGCCTTCCCGTTTCTGCCTGCTGCAGCGGCACCTGCTGCTTTCAATTGCTGCTGCATGCTCTGCTGCTGCACCTCCTGCAAAGGACATAAATATATACAAACAACCAGTCCAAACAACCCAAACCAAACAATCCGCAAGCCCACTGAAACAAGAAGTAGCCACTCCGGCGTATACCCTGCCTATTGGGCAGCTTCATGGGAGTAGCAGGTGCTGCAGGTACCAATTTGCGCTGACTACCCGACTCCCCCTTCCCACAAACCCTAGACTCCAAACCCTAAGGGTGAAACCCTAAGCTCCAACCCGTGTTGTGCATTTGCGATACTTTGGTTCCCGCGATCACTAGGCTGGGATTGATGGACACTTCCTTGGCCTTCTGTACCACCTGCAACAGTGACAAACACAATGTAGCAGCAGAAGCTCCTTTGCTGCTGCTGGCCTGCGCCTATCGTCTGCACAGGCGCTGCAGCTGGCGGCGTCGCATCTGTCGGCGCTCGTCAAATTTTAAAGAGTTATTTGGACCCAGGAAAGGGCCCATAAAAGGAAGCCACATATGCACGGTCTACATATTCTTGAAGTCGATACGCACCTCCTCTTGGGTCTTCGTTCCCAAAAACGAGGCAATTTGATGCCACCGGCGAGCGGTGCCCCCTGGGAACTTCTGCAGAGCCTTCGACAGAAGCGACAACTCCTCAGCTGTCCATACAGACTGCTGCGCTTTCTTCCGCTCCACAGCTTGTCGCTGCTTTTCCTCCTACACAACCATGGAAAAGCACGAAACAAACATAAATCAACCACATGTGGCATTGCCTACGTACACATGTGTCAATGTCTACAGGTATACGGCAAAATGCTGTAACGCATATGCCTTGAAATGAATAAAATACACATATATGTGATTCGTAAAGCTCCGATAGATATAGGCCCCCTTTGTGTACAACTCCACTGATGGAAAACAGCCAGCATCAGCAGTATCACTACTCGCAACAGTAGAAGGAGCAGCAAGAACAGCGGACCTGCAGGCGCTGCGCCTCCTCTTGAGCTGCTTTTCCTCGTTGCAGCTCTGCCTCCTTGAGCTTTTGCCATTTCTCTAAATACAAACGCAAGACAGCGCTCTGCTGCTCTGCCGAGATATTCAAAGCCTCAGGCAGTGGCTGAGGTTCGCCCATCTCGTCTTGCATGAGGTCCTGAGAAGCCGCCAAAGCACATACCTGCATTATCCCCGAAAGCCCCTCAACAGCAACAGCAGAAGGTGCAAAAGCTATTCAAATTTCTGTAAAAACAGCTGCCAACAGTTCCGTGTTTGCGCGATAGACGGGCCCCTGCTGCGTTTGCCCCATAACAGTTAGGGCCACAGCATTGCATGCATAAGCAAAGAATCATGAAATAAGCATAAACAATCAAAGCAGCTGTTTAGGCAGTCGAAGCCCAGAACAAACACAGGGAAACGACAGCGCGCAAATACCGATGGATGGATGCTTGCACGCGGACACGCACGAGGTGGCCTCGGTATTTGCGGCTGTTTACCTGCAGGCCCAGCTTTTGGTAGACGGTCCTGAGGAATTGATGCATCTCCTCAAGGTTTAGAGCCATACTCAACTCCTGAAGTCGAACCGGGTTTAGGAGAGTCGATTGCTCCTCTCCTTCCCCAAGGCGTCGGTACAACCAGCGGAAGGTCTGCCGCCTGCGGGGTTGCAGCAGGGGGCACAAGAGGATGCACCAGCAACAGGGTGCAGCGGCAGCATGGTTGTGTCCCTGTGGCAATTGCAGCACGTTGATTCTGTGCTGTTGAAAGTATGTAGATAAAGTAAAGAACAATTTTTCCGTTTGGCCTGGAAAGCATGCAATGTGCTGTAGTTTAGAAATAGAAGGTACTAAGACACAATCAAACACCTAAAACCCCCCAGACAACAGATACATACCATTTGCGGAGAATCGCCCGCTCTTGCTGCTGCTGCTTGAGAAGTCGCTGCGCCTCTTCTTCTCTGCTACGAGCCTCCTCTTCTTCTCTTCTCCTAAACGCTCGCAACATCCAACCGCATGTAGCCCTCGCATACAAGCAGCATATCAACGCATGCATCAACAATAGTCGATATAAATTTGGAGTGTCTCGACGGCATACGAAAAACAAAAACTTGTGCTTGCACTGAATTTATTTTGTAAAACGCCAAAAACCCGCTAAAGAGGAGACGTAGAAAAGAATTGTGCAACAAACAGCACATGATAACTAACATCTGTCTTAAAGGCGGCATCCACCGCGAATAAGAAATAGAAGGGAAGAAGAAGGGAAACAGCAACTAATCAAGATGCCCCGAAACTGTCTGTATACACTGCAAAGAAATGGTCATACACTGCACCAACAACTTCGCCCTAAAAAGCAAGCAAAGCTGCTGCTGCGGCGGCACCAACAGGAAAAAACGGCCAGAAACACAAAGAGAGAAAAGATTTAACTGACTTCTGATCCTCTGCTGCCCGTCGTGCTTCTTCTCTAGCTCTCAATTGTGCTGCCTTTTCTTCTTCTTTCTTCTTCCTTTCCTCTTCCTTCTGCTGCTTGATTCGGGGGTCTCTGCGTCGTCCATACACCTCAACAGCAAGGCACGTCTCCTATAGTCCCCACACGCAAACAAGCAAGAGGCTTAAGGCAACTATTCTGCTGCTATTGCTGCTGCCCCTCACGCTGCATGCGCCGTCTCCACAAGCTTCTGGATGCGCGCCCTCTCGTTCTTAATGTATTTCTTTTTTATTCTTGCATTCTCCCGCTCCATCCACCTACAAATAGGGAGCACATATAGCAGGAAATGTCATGCAGACGACCGTCCCACATGTACTGTCTATTACTTAGACTGCTGCCCCTGTTCCTGTAGCTTCTGGTATTGCTGCTGCTCCTGTGGTTGCTATGGTGCAGTTTCTGCTCCTGCTTTTGTTGTCGTTCCCGTTGCTGCTGTTGCTGCTGTTGCTGGCGCTGCTGATATGTCTATTACTACTACTGCAGCAGCAGCAGCAGAAGGGGAGTTGCCGCAGGCTGACCTGCGTTCCAGTCTGCATGCTGCTTGGTCGAGGTCATGCTCATCATGTACACCAAAATCCCTCCAAGACTCGAAAGCAAACCAAAACTCATAAAACTCCTCTACTGCGGACAATGGTGTTGAGCAATCACCCAGCGTAGGAACGGGCCGGTTCACAGACCACCTGTACATACGCCACATCTCGACACTCATCAAATGCAGGCGTAAACGCAACTCTCAATGCTCACATATCTATACATACATACATGCACGTATGCAACCTTAGCAACTAAATGCCGCAAACCTATCCGACCAGCCCGTTCGAGAGCTTCTGCTTCTCGCAGTGTGGTTACAGATAGCACTACAGACGGCAAAGACAGTTTATTCCTAAACGCTAAACCCTTAACGATGGTTTCTCCTGCTGCCTCGGCAAAACCGCCACACTACGCGTGGCTGGTTGCCAGCAGACTGCTGGCTGTATATCCACAGCAGCATGCGCACAGATGAATGCATGCAAGCAATGAACGCATGTTTGGCTCTCGCTGCAGCAGCAGCAGCAGCAACTTCTGAGGTACAATCTAATTACCTGGCGTTCCGTTGGAAGGCAGCACCAAATATTTTATAAAAATCCTCGGGGGATTGACAGTCCGCTGCTGAAGGGACACTCTCGTCAAAAGGCAAAGCAGAATCATACTGCCTCCTAAAGCTGCTGTCTGCAGCACAAGCACCAGCACCACAGCGCATGCACTCGAGTTGCATCTGTATGTACATCCCCTCCGCCAGTACAGCGGCGAAGCAGCTGCAGCAAGGGAAGCTATGCAAAGACACTTGCCGCTAAGAGCTTCATAGGCCTCCTGCAGCTTTAAAAATGCCTCGTGCTCTGAAGATGGTTGGCCCCCTGCTGCTGCCGCTGTTATGTATGCTCCTTCTACTCCTCCTTCTGCAGATTCTGCTCCTGCTGCGGCTCCTGCTTCTGCTGAATTGTCTGTGCTAGTGGACGTGGAGGTTGAAGGATGTGCTGGTGGGCTTGTGCCACCGCTCTTCGCTTTATCTGGATGGTATTCCAAAACTTTCTTTCTGTACTGTTTCTTAATTTCTGCAAGTGATGCACCTTCGTGCACCCCTAATATTTGATAAAGCGTCTCCTTGTAGGCCAAAATGCGCCTTAGATTTCCTCCAGAGCACATGGAAGAACTCCCGCCACCTCCACCTGCAGCAGCAGCAGCAGCAGCAGTAGAGAACGCAGCGAACGCACACAGTTGCTGCACATCACCGTGATGAAGCTAATGAACGGCAACACAGATAAAATGGCTTCTCTCACAAGGACGAAGGAAGAAAACGCAGCGGGTTCCGCTCATGCTTGGGCACTTGCTGCTATTGCTGCTCGTGATACTGACCTCCTGCTGCTTTGTTCTTACTCTTCGACTTCGATTTGCCTACTTCCTCACTGTAGTCGTCGTCCTCCTCAGGTGTCCGGGTGTTTTCTGCATGCAGCAGCATCGCCCCGAAAACACTCCTTCAGTGCATGCAAAAAAAAGCGTACAGTATACAACACTAGCCTCCTTCCGTAGATTATAAGGCAAGAAAGCTCACTTGAGCCAGATTTCCGTGGGTGTTTAAGGGAATCCCGCCGTTCATATGTCTGCTGGAAGCTGCGGCCGGCAGCCTCGAACCGGCGGGTAACAGTGCAGAGGCTGCAAACGACAAACGGCTCAAGTGTACAGCCAGCCGCCACATCGGCGTCGCAAAGCATCAACAGAGGCTCCATTTTGACGGTATTGCGGGGAATTTACAGACGCCTTCCCCATGAGGTGCCTCACTCGAGGTGTACAGACACTCCATGAAGGGCCCGCGGCAAGGCCCCCCACCTTGGTAAGCCCCCCAAAGCAAAATTTGATGTTTTTCCACTAGGGACAAAACAATAAAAAACGCAAACGGCCAGTGCAGCATTTCGAGTGTATATTCACCGCATGCGGAAGGAGTCCCACGGGTGGGGCCGTGTGCGCTGTGTATCCCGTAGTACAAAACCAATGGAGCAACTCTTTGTTTGTAATTAAATGCCCTTATACATCTATGTGTAGAAATTTGGAAGGATCGCTTCTAAAAATTCGCGCTTTCCCACCTTTGCGCTCAGGTTTCTGGACTGCGCCGTGCGCCGCAGAGCCACTGTACAGGTCCCGGTCAGGCGAGCGGACGCGGTGTTCAATTGTGTAGCGGAATCTCGCTTCCATGCATTTTCTTTTGATTCAAATCTTCTCAAATGCCTTTTTTTTCTTCTGAAGTTCGTCCAGCGCTTCCTGTAGGCCAGTCTTGCGTCGTGTCATTCTCCTTCTCGCTTCCGCCGTTCGGCTGAACTGGGAGAGAAAGCTGTCGGTTTGCGCGCTTTTGTCACTTCGCGTTTCAGCTTTCTTCGTTATAGTTGACAGTCGTCATTGATATCTTCTTTTTTGGGCATTTCAAGAGTGAGCTGCGCCGTGTGCGGCCTCCTCAGCGTTCTGCTGATCGGCGCTTGTTGCACGCGGCAGCGACTCGCTCTTCCAGAAGCGTCTCAAGGATTTAGGGTTTGGGATATAGGTCTCGCAATGGCGGTTGTCGAGAGCGAGACGCTTCCGGCGTCTCACGTTGCGGCGTCCTCGTCTACACCTGTTGCTTGTAGCAGTTCTTCTGCTCCGACATCGTTGTGTACGGATACGGGCCCCCCCCCTTCTCTGGGTGTCCACCCACCTATTGAAACTGTAGAGGGTTTAAATCTGAGCTCAGACCAGCTGCAGAAGGTGCGTGCTTTGCGTGCTGTGGTGGACGCCCTTCCAATAGTTGAGGAGCTGCAGCAGGAAGCCCCGGTGGCAAAGGAGAAAAGTTGGTTGTCAGGCATTTTCAGCAGAAGCAACAGCAGCAGCAGCAGCAGCGGCAGCGGATCAAAGAAAGAAGTGCGGGAGTTGACATGGGAGGAGGTTTTGTGGCTGTCTAACGACCTTATCCTTTGGCGCTATCTCCGGAGTTACAACTGGGAGGAAGCAGCAGCACAGCAGCAGCTCATGCAGACAGTGCAATGGAGAAGAGAGCGCAAACCCCATCACATACAGCCAGAAGAAGTCATGGGTACAGCAGCCAGAGGCAGCGTGTACAGAAGGGGTTTTGATGTTCATGGACACCCCATTGTCTATTTCAAGTGGGCAAATAACGCAATAAACACGATAAAGTCGCAATGCGCACAACAAACCAACAATAAACAATTCAGGGAATGCCCACATTTACACCCTAATGCAGAACATGTATATTTATGTTTGTTTAGTATTTGTCTTCAATAGACTACACCCGCCATACATTATTAGTCTATGCAATATAGCGTATAAAGAACAGAAACACGCAATAGTCAAGCGGCAGCCGAACAATATGCAAGAATAGCAAATACGTTTCATAAGCACTTAACTGTAAGACAACGCACAGAAGGAACAAACAAATGCAAACGAACACAATAATCAACACAACTGGTAAATACAGGCAGATAAAAACGGCGACAAACAAATGACATATATAGATATTGTGACGTATTGTGTATATATATTGGTGAAGTATGGTTATTTGTTATTGACATAGATGAGTACTGGAGTGGTGGATTCTGGGTCAGTTGAGATGGAAGCCCTTGAAGACCATGGTACAAAAGTGATGGCTGTTTGTACAGTTGTTGTTGTGTTTTTCTCTTGTTTTGCTTGCAGACCTGGACGAGAACCAGCTCAGTCAACGCGTGCTGCACAGGATTATACTTTGTATACACTAGAAAAGGCCTTGCAATCCGTGCCTGTGGGCAGCGGAAGGGATCAGGTGGTGTTTCTGGTGGACTTTGCAGGCTTTCGGGTGTCTCAGGTGCCTTCAATGGATGTTAGCAGGGAAGTTGTTCAAATATTAAATGAACATTATACGGATATTCTTGCAAAAGCATTCTTACTAGATGCCCCGGGTTACCTGGATGGCATATGGCGACTTGTGCGCCTCATGCTGCATCCCCTCACCGCAGCAAAAGTTGAATTCATCAATACCAGTAACCCTAAACAGCGCAGCAAATTAACACAGCAAATCCCTCTCCATTTCCTCGAGCAAACCCTTGGAGGCACTTGCGAAGCTGCTTACAATCATGAGGTGTACTGGGAGGCAGAGGCCGCTTACCATCAGCAAATCCAATCACACAACACGCAAACCCTCCTCAACATGAAAAGCAACAAACAATTCCTACACAGAACACAAAGTAACTCTTCAAACACGCCAGATACATCAGACACGCCACAGTCCGAAACACCACAACCACCTGCAACACCGGCACCAACAGCAACAGCAACTGAAGACTCCGCTGGTGCTCCAAACAACGCATAAATAACTACTTCCCACTCACCTGACACACGGCAGGAGGGCAACAACATCACATTAAACCGAAGCATCTGTCAAAGAATGTAAAACACCCGCAAAACGCCCACTCTCAAAACCTCGGAAGGTACACCTTCTTCTCCATCTCTCTATCCTCTGAAGTCCATGCTGCGACACTAGCTGCAGCGGTGGGGTGCAGCGCCTGTTGCAGCAATTGCTGCACCACAGCCGCTTTCTTGCTCTTGTTGCAGCGAGAGAGAGCCTGTGCTGCAGAGTGCCACTTGCTGCTCTCCCACACTGCCTCCGCTTCTCTGCAACTAATGGAATGTCTCCTTTTCCTTTCGGGACGCCAACCCTAATCCCTGCACCATAGGCCGGTGAGGCTGCTTTTTGCCAACCTCGAGGCACGAACCCTAAACCCTATTCGCTGGTCTTGCGGCGCTGGAGTCTGTGACTTCTGTCGACCTGCGGTAGGCAGCAGCGTCTTCTCGCAGATGCTGCTCCGCGCTCCGCTGCAGCAGCACCTCTGAGTGAGGGCCTTTGTAGTGCTGTTTGTCTCCTGCTGCTGCAGCAGATGTCCTGAGGGCTGCTGCTACAGCCGTAGCGCCATTTGATACAACGAACAGACCAGGGGCCTCCAAAATTTTTAAGGGACTGGTGGTGGTGGTGGTGCTGCTCTTTTTTGTCCCTGTTGTTGCTGCTGTTGCTGTTGTTGTTGTTCCTGCTGCTACTTCAGCAGCTGTTGTTGCGGCCTCTAAATGCTATTATAGGGGTGGCGGCGGAGAGAGGAAACACGAATGAGATAGATAGAGGAGGCACAAGAGAGATGGCTACAGGAGACAACTGCACAAGAGACAAGCCCAATATAATTTCACGTAAGCCCAATATAATTTCACGTCTACACACCTACACGCATCTGCTCTCCTGCGAGGGTTATAAGGACAGAGAAAGATACAGATTTCATAGGAAAAGAGGGAGACAGAGGGACAAAGAGACAGATAGTGAGACATAGAGACAAATACAGAAAAGCATTGAGACAGAAAGGCAAAGGGACAGAGACATAGAGACAGAGGGGGACCCCATCCCTCAGGCGGCAGTCGTCTCCGTACAACTCGGCACAGCTGCCTCTCGCCTCTCGCCCGGCCGCTCCGTACAACAAATAAAAGGAGATAGGTCAGGCAAAATCCTATTGCAGAATGAGCAAAATTGGGACAGCAGCAACTGCTGGGGCAGGGCTACAGTTGCTGCTGCTGCTGCCGCTTCAACTTTTGATTGCTGTAGCAGCAGAGTCGCAGCACGGGGGTAGCTGAGGATTGTAGGAGGGGAAACGTGACCACTGGAGAGGGGCAGTTTTGCGGGTGCTGCTGCTGTTACTGGTGCAGCTGCCGGGTTTTGATTAGGGCACCTGCTACTGTTGGGCTGCAACAGCATCAGCTGCAGCAGCAGCAAGTAGGTCTGTAGGCTTGCTACACTGTGGGGTATAGCTGATAGGCATGTGCAACAGGAGGCCATGATAGAGGTACAGCAGGCTAAGACGACCCACGAGGCTCTCCCAGCCCACCTCTGCTGTCTCCTGCTCCTGCATTTCCTAGCTGGCGGGGCGGCAGCAGTGAGTTGGAGCATTCATTTTGTGCTTGTGTCGCTGCTGCCGCAGCAGGAGACGCTGCGAAAGGGACTGCTGCCCCCTGAGCGAGCCCCTGAGGGATCCCCTGAGGGCGCCCCTGAGGGATCCCCTGAGGGCGCCCCTGAGGGAGCCCTTGAGGGAGCCCTTGAGGGAGCCCTTGAGGGAGCCCTTGAGGGCGCCCCTGAGGGAGCCCTTGAGGGAGCCCTTGAGGGAGCCCTTGAGGAAGCCCTTGAGGAAGCCCTTGAGGGAGCCCCTGAGGGGGCCCCAGAGGGAGCCCTTGAGGGAGCCCCTGAGGGAGCCCTTGAGGAGGCAGCGGCCGTGGTAGCAGCAACCGGCTGCTGAGGACTGAGGTGTATGTAGGAGGAAGACCTGCTGCCGCAGCATCAGCAGCAGCACCTGCTGCTAGTGCTGCGCCTGCTGTTCCTGATGTTGTAGTTGATGGTACTGCTGTGACTGGGGTAGAGGAGATGCCTGGAGGTGGACGGATAGGCATCACAGTTGCTGCTGAGCTGGCAGCCGCCGCTGCCGCAGCAGCAGTACTGTCTCCTGGAAGCACCCCGTGGGGCAGCACTGGGGCGACTGGCAGCCTCTGTAAGACCGACTCTCTTGCTGCAAGTGTAGGTGCAGCTGCGGTAGCAGCTGGCAGCAGGTGCAGAGGAGGAGGAGGAGAAGGAGAGGGCATTCTCACACTTTGGAAGCGCGATCCTGGTACAGATACCGATCCCAGAGACGATCCCGGGGGTTGTGGGGTATTGGTGATTCCCCTTGCACTCCCCTCCAGGGACAGCGGAGAGAATGCTTGGGGCTGACATACTGGCGAGATGCCTCCCGGTTGACCTGTGGGGCCTGATATAGAGACGGGAGCGACAGTAGGCACAGAAGGACCCACGAAGGAAACAGGAGGGGCAGCGACAGAGGCGGGGGAGGCAGCAGATCCCCTTGGAAGAAGCGACGAGGTGGGGCGGGGCCTCCAAACCGCTTTCGATACACCTACAGGCAGACGGGTGGGGTGCTTTGACAGGGGATTTGTAGGGGCGTAGGCTCCTGAAGCCTGCTGAAGCAGCTGTTGCTGCGGTTGCTGTTGCTGCTGCTGTTCAAGCCTTGCTGTGAGGGGCCGCGGTCGCGCTAATGCAAAAGGGGGGGGCCCGCCGTTGGCGGGTGCAGCAGGCCGTCCCCCTTCGGGGGGCCCTGAAAGGGGAGGGAGACAGCTGACTGGGTTCCCTGCAGGCGTACCGGTAGCAAAGGAGTCAGCAGCAGCAGCAGCAGCGGCGGGCGGCCGCAGAGGTGCTGCTGGGATATTATGGGGCATAGGGTGCAAAGGATTGCTGTGCGCGGGTGTGGCAATCGCGGCGGAATCAGCAGGAACAGTTGTAGCAACACCACGAGGGCCAGGGGGCCCCTGGGGCCTCAGGGGCCCCGGCGGACCCATGGGCGATGACGGCAGAGGAGACGCAGGACGGTAGGAGGGTGGCACAGTCAAGGAAGGGAGAAACGGGGGGACGTATGCGCTGGGGGGACGACTGAATGCTGCGCCAGGCACCAGAAAAGACCCCTCCGCAGGCCGCTGTAATGCCACGGGAACAAACGGTCTCTGCACACTTGCAGCAGGAGCTGCTGCTGACAATGGTCGTGCTGCTGCTATCGGTGGTGCAAGTCCTGATGCTGTTGCTGCTACTGGTTCTGCTGGTACTGCTACAGGTGCTGCAGCAGCAGCTTCTGCTGCAGCCCCAGTAGCAGCTGGGCTGTTTCGGAGAGGGAGTGTCTCTGAAGAGGGACTTTGTTGAGGGGGCTGTGAGGGGACAGGGGACAACAGGGGTCTGTGGCCCTGGTTGATGGGCCCCCTTGATGCATTGTGTTGCTGCAGCAGCTGCTGAGTGCTGATTCCATCCTGAGAAAGTGATGACAGGGGCCTCCAAGGGAGAGGCGAAGCAAAGGGCAGCCCCCCCTTTCCTGATTCATCCTGGGGGCCCTGCGGGGGCACCTGCGGATTCCCAAATTGGTGCCCGTGTACGGGCACCTGTGCGATCCTACTTGGGAGGCCCAGCGGGGGCCCCTGCAAAAGGCCTTGCGGGGGCCCCTGTTGGGGGAAATGTTGGGCTCCAAAAGGCGGATCCTGTGCAGCGCTCTGCTGCAAGGGTCCCTTTAAGGCCGTCGGGCCCCGTAGAGTTTGCCTTGGAGCCTGAAGAGAAGTTTGCAGGGTAGCGAAAGGGGCTGCCCTTTGCAGATTTAGGAGGTGGGGGGGGCCTCCTGGAGTTGGTGTGGTGATCGGGCGTGTCGGTAAAGTTAGCCCAGGGGCTGCTGCTGCTGTAGCAGCAGCAGCAGCTGCTGCGTGGGTGGGGACTATATAGCGCCCAGAGACGCCTGCAGGGGTCCTTGTTTCTAAGGAGAGGAGGGCAGCGTGGACTGCGTTCCCCTGACACCCGGCAGCAGCAGCATCATCATCAGCAGCAGACAGCGTCTGTTGTACAGGGACTGCTATAGGAGATACTGTGCGGGGGGGCCCTGTGGCAACGGCTCTTGGAAGGCCTCTAGGGGGGCCCATAGGGGGCCCTGTAGGTGGTCCTTTTGGAGGCCCCTGTGATCCAATAGCACGTGACAAGCCGCTAGGGAACAAGGAGGCAGCAGGGTTAAAAGCATACACAGGGGGCCCCCGGGCCCCCCCCAGCTGCTGCGGGGGCGCTCGGATTGTGTTGACGGGGACTGTATAAAGAGAGGTGGGGCCCCCCTGGAATGGAATAGCAGATGAAGGACGACGGTACGGGGGCCCCGCTGTCTGAGCGACCTGCAGCCTGCTGCTGGCAGCATCTGCACCAGCCAGCCCTGCTGCTGTAGCAGACGATTTCCCATGCTGCGTTGGTGTTGTTGCTGTGGCCGTTGGTGCTTCTGTTGCTGCTTCTAGTGCTGTCTCTGTTGCTGCTGGTCTTGGTGCATCTGCTGCTGTTGCTGCTGGTGTTGCTGGTGTTGATGGTGATTCTGCTGCAGCTGCTGCTGGTGTGATGGTTGTTGTTGTGGCTGTTGCTGTTGTTGCAGCTGCAGTTGCGGCTGGTGTTGCTGATGCTGCTGCTGCTGCTGCTGCTGTGGTCGTTGCCGTTGTGGATGGTGCTGTTGCTGCAGTTGCGGCCGGTGTTGTTGTTGCGGCGCCTGCTGTTTGTGGGGAGGGGCATCGTGAAGGGCCCCTGCTGAAGGCGGAAGGGGGCCTCCTAGCAGGCAGGGGAGCGGTTATAGGTGCCTCCTTAACGACAACATCTTTAATAATGAGTTCTATCTGTGGCGCTGCAGCATCCGGCTGCCGTGCAGGCAGCAAATCGAGGGCCCCCCAAAGAGAGTCCTCTGCCTTCGGCAAAGCGCCAACTGTCCCCGATCCGAGCTGCATGCGCCAGCGACTGTCTCCTACGAACAGCTGTCTTTCACTTGCTCGAGTCCCCAAGGTGCTGCTGAGATCTCCCTCAGTTCTCCCAGCAGGAAACCTTCCCCTGCTCCTGCTGCTGCAAATTGTGCTGGCGCTCTCCCGGAGATTGTTGCTAGTGCATGCGGCTTCTCCGGTGTTGTCTTTGGTGGTGGTCTTGTTGCTGCTGCTGCTTTCTTGCTTGGGGGTCTCTGCTGCTACCTGCTGAGGCTCCTCTGAGAATGTGGAGGGTCCTGACTGTGGGTTAGGTGGCACTTGGGGATCCAAACAAACCTGATGCTGATCCCGATTCCCATTACAATCTGTGTCAACTACTGCCTCTGCTGCTGAGCCTGTTGCTGCCTCTGTTTCTGTGGCACCTGCCACGGCTGCACCTGTTGCTGCGCCTGCGTCTGGTGCTGCCTCCTCTGTTAGCGGAGCTGGTGCATCACGCGCTGCGCCCTCTGCTGCGGTTGCTGCTGAGAGGGATGCCTCCAGTGTTCCCGTATCAGAAGACGCTGCCTCTGTGGCTGATTCCCCTGCTGCTGCTGCTGCTGCTGCTGCTGCCGCATCTGCGTCCGCATCTGTGGCGGTTACGACTGCTGTTGTTGCTTCTGTGGCTGTTTCTGCAGCAGCAGAGACAGCCACAGATGCTGTTGCTGTATCTGTTGCTGCCTCCGTTATGGCGTCGGCTGCTGCGCCTGCTGCTACAGGAGCTACTGCATTAGTAACTGTTGCCTGTCGTGCTGCTTCTGCTGCTCCGTCTGTTGCTGTATCTGCTGCTGCATCAGTCGCTGTTGCATCTGCTGCTGTGCCTGCTCCTGCGTCTGCTGCAAGGGGATTTCGCTCATCAAAATGTTCAGTGTGTGATGTTGCGTGTGCTGTAGCGAGTACTGCTGCATCTGTTGCTGCACTAACAGCTGTTGCGTCTGCTACTGCATTAGCAGCGGCTGTGTCTGCTGCTTCTCCTGCTGCTATGCTGGCCCTTGCATCAATTTGTGCATCACCTACTGTGTCTGTTCCTGGAGCAGCTGCTGGTACTACTGTGGCACATGGGGCTATTACTGCTGTTTGCTCTGGTGCCGAATCTACTGCTGCCTCTGCTGTTGCGTCTGCTGCTGGCACTGCTACCTCGGCGGGCATTATATCAGCAGTTGCTGCCTTTTCTGTTGCGGCATGTGCTGTGTCTGGTGCTTCTGCTGCAACGGCATAAACTACATCAGCAAAGGCTGCATCTGCTGCGCCTTCTGCCGTTGCTTCCGGTGGTTCCGTTGCTGATTCTGCTGTATCTGGTGCTAGGACAGCTACTCCATCAGCAACTGCTACGTTTGCTGCTGAGTCTGTGGCTGCTTCTGCTATTGCTTTTGTTGTTGCATCCGCCGTTGTGTCTGCTGCTGCGTCCGCAGCACCTGCTGTATTTGCGTCTGCTGCACATGCTACACTAGTGGCTACGGAAAATATTGCACCAGCAGCTGCAGCCTCTGCAGCTACATCTGCTGCTGCGAGAGGGCTAACTACTGCAGTCGGACCTGTTGTCACAGCCTGGTCTGCTGCGGCGTCTACTAGAGCAGGAGCTGTCGCATTAAAATCAGCAGTTGCATTTGCTGTTGGGACAGCTTCTTCATTGGCTGTTGGGACAGCTGCTACTGCTATTGCTTCTACGTCCGTTGCTGCATTTGCTGCTGCAGGATCCACAACGCGTGTAGCTGCTGTACGTGCCAATCTGAAGGCCACTCCATCATCAGCTGCTGCTTCCGTTGCTGCAGTGGTTTTTTTGGGTAAAGTGGCTGCCTTAGTTGAGGGATCGGCTGCTACAGCTGCTGCATTTGTGGCTACCAAGGCATCTGTGGCTGCCTTCGCTGCTGCGTCTGCTGCCACGAAGGTTACTGCACCAGCAGATGCTGATAGGATTCCTGCTGGGTCCGTTTCTGGCTGTGCTGCTGCATCTACTGTTGCGTCTGCTGTTGCATAAACTGCTCTGTCTGCTGCTGCGGCTGGCGCTCCGAATGGTGCTGGGTCTACTGCTGCGTCTGCTACGGCGGAGGCTACTACATGATCAACCGCAGACGGAATTGCTGTTGCATTTGATGTGGGCTGTGCTGCTGCATACGCTGCTGCGTCTGCCACTTCCCGTGTTACTGGATTCGTTACTACGGGTGGCGCTGCGTTCGTTGCGTCTGTGTCGTCTGCTGCTCCTGCCACTACTGTTGTATTTGCTGCTGCCACTTCCGCTTTATTGATTGCCACGGGAGGTAATTCACAGACAGTTGCCAATTTCGCTGTTGCATCTGCTGCTGCTGCTGTTGTTGAGTGTGCTGATGCTGCATCTTCTGCTGCCTTAATAGCTGGGATAGCTGCTACATCAGCTGCTGGCGGATCTGCGTCTGTTGCTGCGTCAGTTGCCACCTCTGCCACTTTCCCTGTTGCCGAGTTTGTTGCTGCGCTAGCTGTTATCTGTATTGCTGCTACTGCCGCCTGTGCTGAGTCTGTCTCTGTATCTGCTGCTACTGTGTCTGCTGCTACTGTGTCTGCTGCGTTTGCTACTGTATCTACTGCTGCAACTGCTGCGGCCGCTTCCGTAAGTACATCCGCTGCTAATGCATCTGCTGCCATTGCGTCTGCTGCTGTATCTGTTGCTGCGTATGCTACTGGGTCTACAGCCACAGGATATGGCACATAAGCAACTGTGGCACCTTCGGACTTACTCGCTGCTGCGTCGGCTGCTGGATCTGCTCCTGCGTCAGCTGCTATGTCTACTGCTTCCTTGGCATATGTTCCTGCCCCTGCTGCTGCGTCAGCTGCTGCCTCTGCTACTGTTTCCGGAACTGCTACCTGTTTTGCTGTCTCTGTTACTATATCCGGAGCTGCTGCTTCTGATTCTGCTGCTGCTGCTGCGTCTGGTGTTGCTTTTGCCACCACGAGAGGCATTGCGCCAGCATCTCCTGCATATTCTGCTGCACATGCTGTTGCATCTGCTACCACGAGGGGCATTACATCACCATCCGCTGCATGTTCTGCTGCACCTGCTGCTGCACCTGCTGCCACGGGATATATGGGTTCACAAGTTACTGCTTCTGCTGCTGCTTCTGCTGCTGCTTCTGCTGCTGCGTCGGTTACTGCTCCCGCGTCTGCTTCTGCTTCCATTGCCGCCTCTGCTGTTAGGCTTGCTTTTGCGTCTCCTTCTGCTGTGGGTTCTCCTGCTGCCTCTGACTCTTCTTCTGCGTCCGCTGCTGCCACTGCTGCTGCCGCTGCTGTTTTGTTTTCTGCTGCTTTTCTCTCTTCTTGTACCTTTGCTGCTTCCTCTGCTGCGTCGGAGGTTCTTGCCTCCATTTCTGTGCCGGTTGCTGCCTGCGATGCTCCCTGCATTGCTGAGTCTGTTCCTTCCTCTGTTGCTGTGTCTGCTGTCACGGGAGGTGCTGTATCTGCAGCAGTTGCGCCTGCTATATCTGCTGTTGTGTCTGCTGCTGAGTCACCAGCTATCTCCGTTGTTGCGCCTGCTGCTGCGACTGCCAATGAGTTTGCGTCCGTTCCTGTGTATGTTGCAGTACCTGCTGCAGTGCCTCCTGCTGACTCTGCTGCTGGCTTTACTGCTGCTTCTGTTGCTGTGTCTGCTGCTACGTCGTATGCTGCATACACCTCACCTGTCTCTGTGCCAGCTGCTACACGTTGTCGTGCCTTTGCGAGAGGTAATACGACGGGCACTGCTGCGTCCCCCGCTGCCTCTGCGCCTGCTGCTGCTGCTGCCAGGGTATCTCCTGCACCAGACGCTGCTGCGTCTGCTGCTGCGTCTGCGCCTGCGTCTGTTGGAATACCTGTTGATGCGGTTGTGGCCGCAACTGCTGCTGTTCTTGTTGTTGCCATAGCAGGTACACCTGCTGCTGCGTCCGATGCTGCGTCTGCCGTTGCATCTTTTGCTGGGGTTGCTGCTGAGTCAGCTACAATGCCTGTTGCTGGGCCTGTGGTTGCAACTGTTGCTGTCTCTGTTGTCGCCGTTGCAGGTACGTCTGCTGCTCGGTCTGCCGGGTCTGCCGTTGCATCTGGTGCCGCATATGCTGCCCCCCCTCCGTCTGCTGCTGCATATGAATCATCCGCGGGTGCTACCTCTTCAGCTACATCTGGTACTAACTCCCGAGGCATGAAAACCGCAGCTGCTGCATGTTCTGCAGCATCTGCGCCTGTGCCTGTTGCCACAAAAGCCACTGCACCAGAAGGTGCTGCCTCTGCTGCCTTACCTGACGCTGTGCCTTCTGCTGCTTCTGTTGCTGCCTCTGCTGTTGCATTTTCTGCCTCTGCAGCTGTGTCTTCTCCTGCGTTTGCTGCTGCCTCGGTTGCTGCATTTACTGCGTTGTTTACTGCTGCGGGTTCTTCTGCTGGGTCCGCCGTTGCCCCTGCGTCTGCTGCTGCCCTAGCCCATGCAACAGCATCAGCTTCGTATTCTGCTGCTGCAACTTTTGCATCAACACCTGCTGCATCGGCTGCTGCTTCCGTTTCTTTCAATGTTGCCGCCTCTGCTGCTGCGTCTGCATATGTTGCGATATCCGCTGCTGCGCTAGTTGCTGCCTCTGCAACTGCTGCGACTGCTGCTGCGCCTTCCGCTGCTGCTACTGTTGGTGCAACCACTGGATCAGCAACTCCTGCGCCTGCTGCTGCGTCCGCTGCTGCGATATCTACTGTGTTATCCGACGCTGCACCTGCGGTTGCCGTTGCTGCTGCTGCGACAGCGACAGCATGTGGTTGTGCTGCTGTGTCTGCAGTTGTACCTGCAGCTGTGTCGGCAGCTGTGTCGGCACCTGTGTCTGCTGCTTCATCTGTGTCTGCTACTGCGTCTGTAACTGGGTCTATTGCCGCATCTGCTGAGGCGGGATCTACTGAAACAGTGTCTGTTGCCTCTGCTGCTGCTTCTGCTGTTGCCTCTGCTGCTGCCTCTGCTGCCGCAGGTGATGCTAAATCAGCACCTCTTGAATCCGTTGCTGCGCCTGCTGGTGTATCCGCTCCTGCACCTGCCGCTGCTTTTCGTGGTATATCCGCTGCTCCAGCTGCTGCTGCAACGGCTACTGAGTCAGACGTTGCTACGCCTGCTGTCACAGGGGCTACTAGATCAGCAGCTGTATCTGCTGCTGCAGTGTCTGGTGCTGTATCCGCCACTATCTCTGCTGCTGGGTTTGTCGCCGCATCAGACCCCAATGAATCTGTTGCTGCTTTTGCCGTCACAGCAGTTGATCCACCAGTATTTTCTGACCCTGCCGCTGCGTCCGTTGCTGCAGCAGCTACGGCCTCAGCACTTGCTGCATCTGCCGCTATCTCTGCTGCTGCATCTGTTGCTGCATCTCCTGCATCGGCTGCTGCAAGATCTGCTGTAATTCCTTCTTCTACTGCCGCTGCTGTTGCTGTGGCTTCTGTTGCTGTATCTGCCCCTGTAAATGCTGCTGCTATATCTTCTGCAGCTAGAGCTGCTGCTGCAGTATATGCTGCTGCTGTATCTGTTGTTTTTGCGTCTTCTACTGCTGCTACAAATCCTGTTGCTATTTTGTTTGGTGCTGCATGTGCTGCTGCTGTATCTGCCGGTGCTTTGTCTGCTGCTGCTACTTCTGCTCTTGCTGTTTCCGCTGCTGTATGTGGTGCAGGTGCGCTTTCTGCAGGTGTATGTGCTGGTACTCTGTCTGTTGCTGCTTTATCGTCTGCCACTGTATTTGTTTTTAACGCGTCTGATGCTGCCACGTCAGCAGCTGTATCTGCCACAGCTGTATCTGCCGCATCTGTATCTGCTGCTGCTGTATTTGCCGCTGTTTTGTCTGCTGTCCCTTTGCCAACAGCTGCTGGTGTATATCCTGTTGCTGTATCTACTGTCGCTGTATCTGCTGCTGTAGATACTACAGTTGCTTCTGCTGCTGTACACGCGACTGCTACATACGCGGTTGCTGCATCTGCTTCTGGTGTATCCGCTGCTGTTGCATGTCTTGCTGTATATGTTTCTGCTGCGTCTGCAGCGGGTGTATCTTCTGCTACATATGCTGTTGCTGCACCTGGGTCGGAATCTGCGGTTCGTGTATCTGTTGCTATAGCATCTGCTGCAGTGCATACAGCTGCTGGTGATTCTGCTACTGCATCGGCTGCTGGACTCGCTCGTGCAGCTTCCGTTGCAATCCCTTCCTGTTCTGTTGCTGCAACAGCTTCTTCTGCTTCTGCTGGCTCTGCTGCAGCTGCTGTTGTGTCAGCAGCGGGTATGTGTGCTGTTTCATCCGATGGCGCTCTTGCAGCTGCTCCTTCTTTCCGTGCAGCTGGTTCCTCCTCTGCTGGAAATGGTGCAGCAGCATCATCACCTTCTGCTTCCGTTGCTGCAGCAGATATTCCTGCCGCTGGAATAGTTACTCTACATGCACCAACGTCTTCTGCTTCTGGTGCTGCTGCAGCTGCTGATGCAGTTGTTGCATCCCCAGGCACTGGTGTTTCTGCTGCTGGCTCTTGTTCACCTGCAGCAGCTGGTCCTTGGTGGGCTGCTGTTATAGAGCCTGCTGCTTCCTCTGCTGCTGCAGGTGCTGCTCGTTCAGCTGTTTCCCATGCTGCTTCGTCTGTTGTTGCTTCAACTGTATATGCTGCTGCAGATTGCTCTTTTGGTTCTGCTGCTACTTCTTTTGCTGTAAAGTGTGGTTCTTCTGCTAATGCCTCTCCTGATGTTGCGTCTGCTGCTGCTACCTCTTCTGCTGTTGCCTCTTCTGTTTTCGCTCCCTCTGGTGTGTCTTTTGATCCGGTACATGGTTGTGAGGCTGCTGTATCTGCATCTGCTGCCGCATCGGCTGCTGCTGGAGATGCAGCTTCAAAAGACACTCCAACTGGTGCTGTGGCGGCCGTTGCACACTCTTGCACATATATTGCTGCCTCTGCTGCAGCTTCTGCTGCAGCTTCTGCTGCAGCTTCTGCTGCAGCTTCTGCTGCAGCTTCTGCTGTTTCGTCTTCTGCTGCATCCGCTTCACCATTTGCTGGTTCGTCTGCTGCTGTATCTGCACTTGTATCTGCTGATGCTGTATCTTTTGCTATGTCTGGTGCTGTACCTGCTGGTGCTGTATCTGCACTTGTATCTGCTGCTGTCGTATGCGCTGCTCCTGTATCTCCTGGTGCCGTATTTGCTGTTGCTGTATCTGCTGCTGCCATATCTGGTGCTGCTGTATCTGCTGCTCCTGCATCTGCTTCTGCTGTATCTGCTGCTGCTATATCTGCTGATGATGTACCTGCTGGTGGTGCATCTGCTGCTGCTGGTTCGTCTGGCGTTGCATCTGCTGCTAAATCTTTTCCTGTGACTGCTCCTGCATTTGAGGCTGCGAGCTCTTCAGGTGCGTCCTCGCTACTACCACACCGGACGACAGCGGCAGCACCAGCAAAACCCTCAGGGGTTCCAGTGGCGTCTAGTGCCTCAGGGGCCTCGGAAGCCTCAAACTCTAAGGGGTCCTTGGGGGTCTCTGAAGGCCCAGTGCCCTCAGGCACTTGAGGGGTCCCAAAGGCCCCTGAATCCCCGGGGACCCAAGAGGATTCAGGCGCCCCAGAGGCTTCAAGGTCCCCAGTGGCATTGGGGGCACCAGAGGCTTTGGGGTCCCCGGCGGCTTCAGGGACCTCAGGGGCTCCAGGGGCCAAACAGGCTTCAGGCGCCCCAGAGGCTTTATGGGCCCCGGAGGGTTCAGGGTCCCCAAAGGCTTCAAGGGTCCAAGAGGTATCGGGGGGACCAAGGTGCAATGGTGGCGGGCCCCACGAGGGCTCAGGCTTATCGCTCTCTGCTAACCCACACAATAAAAGAAGCAGAGGAGGAACTTTCCATTAGAAACACAGCAACAAAGTGTCATGACAATAATAAGAATTAAACATAGATAAGGATAAAAAGAGGAATAGTAAAAACCCCCAACAGACGGGAACGAATATAAAAAGATTACTTATAATAACAACAATGAAAATAACCACAACCCCACCCTTATGTAAACGGATTAATATCTTAACAACAGCATAAAAGCATTGTGGCATTCATGCTGTCTTACGCACTCTTTTCTTCCGCAGCAGCAGCTGCTGCCTCGCCTGCCCAACCTTCTCCTGCAAACACCTCTTTAAACCCTAAGCCCTAAACCCTCAGTGGTTTTACGCCCCCCCCTCAAAACCCCAGACCAAAAGCATCTCCCAACATTCTCTTTGCTCGGACTCCCACTCACCTGCTTCTGCTGTTGCTGATGCTGCTTGCCCTTCTGCAGCATCAGCAATAAGCCCAGAAGTATCTGGCGTGCCAGCTAGCGGGGAATATTGGTTTGCTGAGGGGTTTGTCTCCGTTTTATCTTCCGTCTTTTTAATTACCTCCATTTCTGTTGTTGCCTTTTCTTTCGACTCCTCTTTTTCTTGTGTCGTCGTCGCTTCTCTGACTTGTTCAGTACACGAGTTGGCATTTTGCTGCTCCGGTTCTGTTACTTCTTGACTCGTCTCTATCACTTCGTTTTCTTCTGTTTCTTTTATCTCTGTTGTTGCTCGTGTTTCCTTCCTATCAGTTGCTTCTTCTGTCTCCTTTTTGTCGGTTGCTTCATCCTCGTCATTTAATTCTTTTACCTTTTCTGTCTCCTTTATCTCTCGTACTACTTCTGTCTCCTTCAACTCTTTCATTTCTTGTGTCTCCCGTATCTCTTGTGTTACTTTTGTCTCCTGTATCTGCGTTACTTCTTCTGACTCCATCATCTCTTGTGTTGTTTCTGTCTCCTTTATCTGAATTACCTCTTCTGCCTCCTTTACCTCTTCTGTTACTTCTGTCTCCGTTCTCTGCATTACCTCTTCTGTCTCCTTTATCTCTTTTACTACTTCTGTCTCCTTTCTCTGCGTTACCTCTTCTGTCTCCTTTATCTCCTCTTCTACTTTTGTCTCCGTTAACTGCGGTGCTTCTTCTGTCTCCTTATGCTCTGCTCTCCCTTCAATCTCTTCTACCTCTGTTCTACCTTCTGTTTGGTCTACCTTACTTCTATCTATTATATGATTTATATATACTGCGTCTCCATTTGAGTGTTCTTTCCTTTCCACTACAACTGTCTCCTCTTTATTGGTTTGGCTGCTCCCTTCGCAGCTGCCTGCTTGTGCCTCTTCTGGTTGGCCACTCGGTGTCTGCTGCTGCACTTCTGCTTCTACTGTTGTTGTTCCTGCTGCTGTTGCTCCTGCATATTCACTGTCTCCTTCACGGTTTGCATCTTCTGCGGAACCCAGAATATACAAGCCACCAGCAACCTCACCGGCAGCAGCAACAGCGGTAGCAGCTACAACTGTTGCTGTCGCTGCTGCCGGTGAGTCTCCTGTGTCATTGTTGCCCTGGTGTAGTTCATGCTCCTCTTCTTGCTGCGGCAGAAGCAGCCACAAGATCCTCCTTTGCTGCATTCCTGTCATTCTGTCTATGGCTGTAATCCCTTTCATAACCGCATAGTATTTGTAGTCTACTGCATTTGTTCTAATACTTTACTTATCTATTATATATTTATCTATCTAACATTTCTATCTGCACTCTACCAACTCGGATCCTCTTGTGTCGTGACACCCCGGATCTATCAACTACAGACACGTGCCTCGGCTGCTGCTATTGTTGTTTCTGCTGATGCAACTGGGAAATGGCCTACTGCAACAGTGGGTGCTCCTTCTGCTGCATATGTATCGTTGACTTCCATCACTCCGTCGGCTGCTGCTTCTCCCGATGTCGGTTTTGTTGACGTTGCGATTGTTGTGGAGGCTGTTCCTGCTGCTGCCTTTGCTGCTGCTTCTGCGGAAGTCTCCGCTGTTTCAGTGTCTGCTGTTGGTGGGAATACTTCTACTTTTACTTGTGCTTCTGCTGCTGTTTCTTCTTCTGCTTCTGCTGTTGCTTCTGCTGTTGCTTTTGCTGTTGTGTCTGCTGCTTTTTTTGCTGCTTCTTGTGCTTGGACTCCTACGTCTGCTTCTGGTGCCGTTTCTGCTGCTGCGACGGCTGGTGCCGCTGTTGCTACTACGGTTGCAACAGGTGGGAAAGCTTCGCCTGCCTGCTGCGTATACTCGCGGTATTCCGTAGCTCTGAGTTGGCTGTTTTGGCTGTCTACATTTCTTTGGTCTTGATCGTCAAACCACGTGACAGTCAACGCTGGGGATGATACTTGATGTAACGCGTCAACAGGAGAAATTCGATGGACCCCTGCTTCCTCGGGCTCGCTGGCAGTCAGTTGCTGGTGCTCGCCAACAGCCGCTGGTGGTGGTGCTGCTGGCGCAGTTGCTGCAGGTGACGTATCATCTCCTTGTTCAGCACATTCTGCACCAACGCGAGAAAGCCGGCGTGTTGCTGCTGTTGCTGCTGCAGCAACTGCAGCAGCAGCAAGCGCCACTGGGCCTTGAGGCGATGCTGTCAAGGTCGAGGCAGCCAACGCAGCAGCAGCAACTGCTGCGGCTGCGGTTGCGGCAGCTGCCTCTACTGCTTCTGGTGCAGATGTAGCGGTACTATCCTTTGCAGTAGAAATAGCATCAGCAGTTGCAGCTGCAGCAGGCAAGGGTGCTGCTGGTGCCTCAGGCCCAGCAGGAACGCACCCAGCTGACGGTGGGATTAGTACCCCACCAGCTATCTCCTCAGGTTCTACTACAGCATCTGCAACACCACAAGCAACTGCAGCAGCTGCTAAGGTCTCACCAGGAGCTAACGATGCGTCAGCAACAGCAGCAACGACATTGGCATTGAGGCGGTGGCTATGCTCGGGGAGTACTTATCCGTAAGCAGGAAACATTAGCAAGTCTGTCCCTCTCCTTGGTTTCTGCTAGACATAACTCCTGTTGGTTGGTTGCTGCTGCTTCAGCAGCAGCAGCAAGCAGCTGGTGCAGCGTCTACTGCTTTTTGTTTATCTGGGGTGGAGCCAGAAGCTCTGGTAGAGTTTCGGTTTTGCATTAAAGGCAAGCATTTCTTTCCTTGTGCCTCCATGTTATCGTCTTTTGTCCGCTATCCGTGAGTCTCTGTTTTTGTGTCTTTTTCTGTGTCTCTGCCTCTTCGCCTCTACCTTTTTCTGTTTCTGTCTCTGTGTACCCTCCACTCAACCACTCTATGTCTCCCCTCAACTGCGTCTCTCTATATGTCTTACTACCTGTCTCTCTGTCTCTCTTATTCTCTGTCCCTCCGTCTCTTTCATTCTGTGTGTCTGCCTCTCTGCCTGCTTCCTTCTCTCTGTCGTTTTGTTGTTGGTCTCACAGTCTGCCTCTTGCTCTCCTTCTTCTGTCTGCTGCGGGCAGCTAGTGAGGCTTTGGTCTGCCTCCTTTTTTTTTGTGTCTCTATCTGCCGCCTCTCTCTTTGCAGGTGCTAATCCATCCTGAGGCGGCACAGCAGGACCCAATCGATTCTGTCGCATTTCTTCTTTCTTTGCTCATTTCGCTTCTACGTAGACAATATATACATACTGTGTTACGAAGACTTTGAGCGCGGAAGCATTAATATCATAATTGAAGTGCAACGAAGGACCAGGGGGAGCCCTCTGCGGCTGCTACCTCCACCGACCTCTGCAGGAGACGGTGGCCCTCCTGATGGGCCCCTGAGGGTTTCATGTGAAGGCGGAGGGAGGGATAAGAAGGAAGGAGGAAGATAGCTGAGTTGGTCTGCCTCCTGTGGAGGGGATCTATCTTCCTCTACTTCTACTCCCCCAGATCGGAGCAAATGAAGTACTTTAGAAGCCATCTCCTCTCTCTCCGCCTGCATGCAAAAAACAGAGCGAGAATACTGCCAAGGAAGTGTTTAAAGATTATTCAATTAACTAACAGAAGCATGCATTCAATAACAACCACCATAGAAGGAAGAAAAGCAGTGACACCAACTGCAAGCGCAGAACGGAGGATTATATGTTGTAGGGAAATAGAAGAAAGATTTAATATAGAGCGACAGACAGAGAAGGGTGCTATGTTGAAAGGAGAAAGATAGGAGAAAGATACATTACACCGCAAAAAGCCAGGCAGACGAAGGATGATATATTGTAAGGAGACAGATCAAAGAAAAACATCTTGTAATATAGAGAGACAGACAGGAGGGGGATGCTACATTAAAAGGGGACTTAAGAAGGACATTGTGCTGTATAGGGAGACTAAAGAAAAATACTGCATTAGGGGGACTAAACAAAAAGAGCCATGCTGACTATGGAAGCCCTTTGGAATGCCACATGCTCAGCAGAAGGATTTTCTTCCTTGTCTTGTATTTCTTCGTCTTCTCCTTCTCCAGGCACAAATCCCCCACAGAAGCTAACCCTTAAATTGCGTCCTTTGTTCTTCTGTCTCTGCTTGGAGCTCTCTCTGCTAAGGCAGGAGGCACTTCTGCTGCAGGGGCTCCCTTCTTCTAACGGCTCTCCTACGGGTAGCCAGGGGCCCCCAGGAAGTCCCTGTGAGGCCCTTCCATCTCCCGTCTCAAAAGCAAATTGCGAGCCGACAAATCTGTCTGAAGCTTCTCCTGCTTGTGCTGCTGTTTCTGCTGCTTCTGCAGTCGCTGCTGCTTCTGTTGTTGCTGGCAGAAGTACACAGAGGGATGAGTGTGCAACGCTGGTCTCTAAAGGGGAAAGCGACAGCGACGAAGAGGACCCCATGTCAGGGCCTTGTGGGGTCTTCTTCTCCTCACTCATATGCTCACCACCTTCTGACGGGGTCTGACGGCTCATCGTCGGGGCCTCACAGGTCTCTGCCTGCGCCCCCATACGCATCATTGGGACGTCTTGGGGGTCCCTAAAAGGCCTCCCGCAGGAACCCTCCTTTGTGCTGCCTTGCTGTTCCTGGATTGTGTGGGGTTCTACAGCGAGTAGAGGGAGCTCAGCGACAGCAGGAGCAGCAGCATCAAGCGATTCTGCTGGAGCCTGCTCCTCTGTAGGTAACTCCGCAGGGCAGGACTCATCCCCCGCAGCGGAGCTGTTGGCTCTGTTGCTGCCTGCTCCTGCTAGAGCTGCAGAACCAGGAACAATAGCAGCAGCAACAGCAACAGAAGCAACCGCAATATTTACCCTTCACTCGGCCGTTTGTGCTGCAGATCGGTACGGTGGTTCCGTATCCCGTGCTTGCGGGCCCTTCGAGAGCGCTTTTGTCTTCTGCTGCTTCACTTACTTGTGCCATACCCTTCGGATTCTGCTGCAGCTGCGGTTTCCTCCCCGGGGTATCCACCAGGTTGCCTCCTCATATCCTGCATTGCCTCCTCTACCATCGGGGCGTCCACTCCGTTAAATTCCGAATCCACAACACGCACACACACTGAGACAGGGGGCTCCTCAGTGTGTCCCGCAGGGAGCCCCTCATGACGGCCTTCTTGTGGTCCCCAAAGAGCTTCTTCAGGGCTCCCTCCAGGGAACGTGTCAACAGCATATGTCTGGAGGCCTTCAGGGGGAATCTCCACGGACCCCTCAAGCGTTTGGGGCCCCTCACGGGGACCTTCATCGGGGCCCATTAGAAGGACCTCTTGGGGTTCCAAACGAGAGCCTGCTCCAGGCCGCTCAGGAGGACCCGCAAAAGCAAATGCTTGCTGCCCCTCAGGGCCTTTAAGACCGTCTGGTTGGGTGGGACCCTCGTGGGAGCCCTCAAGATTTTCTCCATGACTCGTCTGATATTGTAGGCTACTTAACGGGTTTACAAGGGGTTGCGTCCATTCCTCTGCAGCAGTTGTTGGGGCAGGTGGTGCTGCACCAGCATATGCCCCTTCAGCTGAGGAGCTTTCGCAGGGGGCAACAGATGTAGGCGCTCCAGGACCAGCAGCCTCATAACCTTCTGGATCAGCAGCAGGGAATGGTCTGTCTCGGATAGAGCTATTGCCCCTGTCGGTATTTAAACCGTAGGGGTTGTCACTGTTTACATTGCCAAACATCTCCGTACAAACAGAGAAGGACCGTTGGCCCCCCTCCGTGGATCTGGGGTTACTAAGGGGCCTCCAGCTGGTGGGAGGTGTTAGAAAACAGGAGCCTCCAGTGCCCTTGGATCGGGTACACATTCGCGATGACAAGAACCCTCCTCCGCGCAGCAGCAGCAGCTGCTGCTGCTGCTGCTGCTGCCGCAGTGGGGGCACCGCTTGTCCCGGCAGGCATGGAGGCAGCCGAAGGTCCCAACCACGCACGTTGGGACCCCTCAAAACGGAATATTCCCCACCTACTCAAAGACACATACCCAAAAACAACTTTGCTGCTGCTGCTGTTGCGGTTGCCGCTGTTTTTGCTGCTGCTGTTATGGCTGCTGCTGCTGTTCCTGCCGCTATTGCTGCTGCTGCCGTGGCTGCTGCTGTGGCTGCTGCTGCTGCTGTGGCTGCTGCTGCCGTCGTGGGTAGTCGCAGAATGCTGTGTAGTGTCTCGTACTCTTTGTGTGTCTGACCTGCTGCTGGAGTGTCTATGGAGAAATGTTTAGCTTGTTGTTGGTAGGTGCTATGAGGGGTTAGTTGGCTGTCTGCTCTTTGTCTTCTCTTCCACGTGGGCTCCGCTGCATTCAGCCGCAGCTGTCCATACAAGACAGTTCTGCCGCTGTCTTGTGGTTTAGCAGAGCAGTGCTCTCCTCTAGCAGCAGCAACATCATGAGGCCGGAGCAGCAAGCTTTCTATGTTGGTTCGCATGATGACCACTTCGGAGCTGCGCCCCAGATATGAGGGGCCTTCTGGCTTCGAGTATCCCCCAGCACACACCTCTTCACCCACGTAGGGGCTCCCACGGCCTCCAATATTGTGCGTGACACCAGGGCCATGAGGGCTCGCAAGGCCATGAGGGCTGGCAAGGCCATGAGGGCTTGCAAGGCCATCAGGGAAGGAGGGATCTTGGGGATTCTGGAGAATAGGCTGCAGAGGATGTTCTTGAGATGCTGCTGGGTCCGGGGGGTTTACTATTTGCTGTAGCTGTGCTGCCTTTGATGTTATGAAGTTATCTAGCAACTGCAGGAGGGGCCCTAGTGGTCCATCTAAGAATGTGGCTGCTGTTGTGGTAAGTTGTTGCTGTTGCTGTAGTTTTTGGTGTTGCTGTTGCTGTTGCTGTTGGTGTTGCTGTTGTTGCTGTTGCTGCGGCTGTTGCTGTTGCTGCTGTTGTTGCTGTTGCTGCTGGTGCTTCTGGGTCTGCTGAATAAGACTTGCCAAGTATTCCACGTGGGGCCTACAGGCATTGAGGGTTTTCGTGTAGGTGTTTAGCTGCTGCTCTTGTTCCTTGGCTTTGCTGCTAAAGACGTCAGACTCGTCTTGGACGGAGTTTAGAAGCTCTTGCATCAATGTTGCTGCCTTGGCTCCGTGCTGCAGGTGTTTAGATATTTGCGAGGAGAGTTTTTGTCTCTTGTGCTCAATTTGGCTTCTTTCTCGATTAATATTGTTAACATACTCAACGGCACTGTAATTCTGCTCCTCTAAGAGGGTAAATATTCGCACTATCTCAGCTGAATCTGCAGGAAAATACAAGCAATACAACAGAGAGAATTTGTTCTACATCGGGCTGTTATGATCCCCACACCTACAGAATATATATATATATATAA